ATAATGCAACAAAGTAATACAATATTGTACATAAAATGATACACGGTAAATTAAAAATTCTTTTACTAGGAACTAAAGAAAGTATCCATGCTAATAGAATAGGTACTAATGGACGACTATGCAAACTAAAATTTGGAATTAAAAAAACAATGGAAAGTGTTCAAGATTTAAATAGTTCTCACTTGATCTCAGCGCCGGTCACAAGTGGTCAGCTCTGGTCAACTAGTGGTCTGTTTTGGTCAACTGGTGGTCAGTGTCGGTCAACTAGTGGTCAGTACTGGTCAACTAGTGGTCACCAGTCGTCGGTAATGGTGCTCGAGTGGTCAGGGCGCCAGAACAGGACCCAAACGCGGAGATCCATCCGTCTCGGATGCTTCAGGTAGAATGAAATTTTCGACAACAGGGTCTGCGTATACTTTATGGTGGGGGGAACAGGATGGTAGGGTACAACATCGACTAGGCAGTTAATTCGGCCGTCGAAAAATTAATCTCTGCACTCTGACAAGCAATTATCGAATAAATAATATTTTTACTGTCTTATTTTACTTCAGTCACCACTGCTTATTTGTCAAAAAGACACAAAGTAAAATTTCTATTCTGTACCACATCTGTGATGAAATGTTTACTCTGTACTTCGTCTTTGGTACTGATATTCCTCGGTGCTTGCTAACTTCAGCGAGTGCAACGAGATGGAGCTGCAGTTCTCTTCCACGATCTTTGTGCACTCTACTTGCATCGCGTACAATACGCGGACAATATAATAAATAAACGAAATAGATTCTGTGAATATTATAAAACCTGCCTTCAATTTTTACGAATCTTATTTAATTTTTCGCAAATATAATTGTACGTCAGAGCGTGTAATAACTCGCACGTGGCATTATTAAGTTACTAGGCGACTCTTCGACACCCACATGTCGATTCCAGTTCACCTTGACGGACGAAGGTGTATCACGCTTTTAGTTCTACTAGGAAAAGGTGTACCCTTTCGGAAAAGTGACACGCTCGCAGGTGTCGAGTTTCTAGCGGTACACACCGTGACAATTGCGTTAATTCTCCGATAAGAATGCAAAGAAAACGACTATCCAGCGAATAAATTACGAGATTATTAAATTTTCCAAAAATTACAAGCTCGAAAATATATTCTACTTAAATCGAATAAAATTTTAAGTCAACTTGCCAACGAAGACAGAATACTATTCTACAAAACCTACCTTTACATCAAAATATATTTGGTAAATTTAAATTAATAAAAATAAAAATGTTTCTCATCTATTGTTCGAATAAAATGTTGCCCATTTCTGGTTTAGAGTACGATAAATTGAATCTTACCGTAATTAAGCTAGTCTATTTAGATTAATATCATGGCTCGTAAATATGAATTACGTTCGTATCAGTCGTATGAATATGTATATAGTGAACCAGTATAATTCCCTCGAGATTTTTTTCTTCCGATTACATCATAGGACGGTCATTAATATTAAAAACAGAATTTGTCACAGAATCGTGACCAATTACGCCGCGCGACAAAAATCTCGGAAAACTATGCTCGCCCACGCGGAACGACCATTTTCGTTTGCACCATGATGCGTCTTCTTAATTGTGCGAGGCAAAGGCGCATCGATGCGCAAGTTTGCATCGATTTGCATCTCTCAACTGCGTCATCGCGCAACATGATCCAACGACGCCCGAGAACTAGCATTAGAATTTCGTGTGTAGGCGCTCGGACCTTTTCAGGAGTTTACCAACACGGTTAATTTGCAACATTCCGCACGCAATAACAAAAAAAAAAAGAATATGAAAAACTGGTCGCTGAAAAGTGGGTATATTTCACTCGGGGAGTCCTCGATTATCCGAAGTATCATTACCTTACTCATGCTTCTTTTTAAAATTCAAGAAACGTTGAAGAGTATGTTACATAATACGAATATTGTCTGAAAGTTGATACAGTTTGCGCGCAGTTGGCGGATTAATTATGACACAGGCTTCAGGAAGAGTATTGTCTCAAACAACGCAACGCTAACCACCGGCGAAAACGACGACAATGAATAAGAATTGTTAATCAAACCTGGCACGAGCTACAGTCGCTAACACAAATTTGCATACACCGTCCTAACATGGTATGAACGATCAATGTAGGCTAAGAATCTACGCTGTTGTACGATTGATTGATGTTTACCAACAGAATATTAATGCGACCACGTGAATATTTTCTGTAAGCTTCTATCTATGATATACGTTACGTATTACAAAATCTACGAATATGAAATTATACAGAAGACAAAATTGTGTAACAGAAAAAATGAAATGAAAACAGACTTAATCAGCTAACACTTCTGAAAATATAAAAAATTCTAAGAACATCGTAAAAACGCAGATTTTGAATTTGATGTTAACAGTAACTCCATAGGGTGTACCTGGAGATTTATACTCGACACTCTGTTCTTCGAGTATCGAAAAAGAGGAAACGGATAACCGTGTGTTACCAATACGTATCCGACACCTACGAAACATAGATTTATTCCTCACGTAGTACGTAGAGATACGCGCGTCCGCGGATGTCGCAACATTTCTGCTCTCAAAAGCAAATCTTGTATGGATCGATGGACTAGTTCGCGAAGCTGGAAAGGGACAAAACAGGCCGTGACCCATTGACTCATTAGCACGCCCAAAGACAGACAACACTGCCAACAGCTGTTGGCGATCGTGGCGATCACGTACCGGGGACATGAAATCGGATCGAAGTCGCATCCGTGCGCTTCGGAACACCTGGTCGATCATGCTGCAGTTCTACGAAATGATTGCGTTGCATAATCGGATCGTATTAACATCGCGGATGACGCTCCTAGAATCACGGTGACTAATTCAACGTGATGTGGGACCGTTCTCCAATTCGTTCTCCAAAGACTCGAGCCAGCGACAAATACGTGGATACTTTTTTAAACAAAATTTTAGATCGATATAGACTACTGGAAATATATGAACAAATTTAAAACAAAAATTAGATTACAATATTTTTGCTCTGAAGCTGAGCCTACTCGAGATTCGTAGCGACTCCACTTCCGTGTTATCAATTACTCTTTGCTAGAAATATGTCAACTATATATTTTTTATTTACTATGATATAGTTCCATAACAATATTCGTGCCATAAAATGAATAAACAGATGCAAAATTTTCAGTCACGTGATCTCTGGTGTTAAACCTCCCAGAGACAGATTTTGCACAGAAAATCGTATTTTCCAAGCGTATAACAGACAAAGCCCTCTCCATCTCTCGCTGATATTATTTCTGACGCGCGTCTGCGAGAATTTTGGACCCCAAACACTTTGAAATGCCCGTTGTTTCGTTTTGAATGCACGATGACGTTATCTCGTTTCGCCAAACAGCTTTGAAAAGAATAATCCCGCGCTCGAAACAACGAAACGTTCTTGGAAATTGTTCGATGTACGGAATTAAAAATTACAAATATAAATCGCCTAACCCAGATCTGCATCATAACTTATCTGATCTATTCGACACGAAAGGAAGGCCTCTTTGTTGACCAAAGAGTGACGCAACCGGACGTTTCGCGGGGAACAGATTCGAGAGTCGAACAATTATTCCAACGAGCGCGCAAAGTTTCGTTGCTTCGACACTGAATTGTCTCGTTAAAACGTTATCAACGTTTTCTTTTGGAACGTTTTATCCGCGAACGGAAACATTACGTCCCCGCGATAAACATCCATCGAAGTTTTCCGCGCGTTTGATATGTCTCTGGTTGCATCACGGACTTTCCGGAAAAGGATTCGACACAGTCGAACGAAGACAAGAGCGGAGAAGGGACGAGTTATGCGATCAACTGCTAATTGCGTCGATTAGACCGTTTAATTGGCAATTCGACGATTAACCAATCGATGATTACGGGAATTGAAGCCGGCGTCGGTCCAGATACCGAACCACCGTTTTTCATCGTCGAGAAATTTATGGTCGGTAAAAGTTCTGACAAAAAAGAAAAAGAGAAAATCGACGATGATCTAAAAATGAACGAAAATTTTTCACGCGATTATACGAAGAATAAACAAAATGTGAAAAGCCTTTTCGTTTACGCTCGTAATTCGCCGACTTTCCTTCCTAATTTCTACCCAACGTTGAAAAAAAAATCGTTAATAAAAAAGACCGTTAAATTTCATTTATGCGCGGACGCGGTTTTTCTACGCCCGTCGGATAATTTTGCAAACTTTAATCGACTTAGATATTACTTTCACCGTCGTATCACGTATTAATTTGCCACGACGGACAGCGTGGTAAATTGGCATGACATTTGCGCGGAACAGTTTGAAAAAGTTGACCGTCCGGTAACGGAAAGCTGCGACGTTTTTTACGAACGTTTGAACGCGGTTACACTTTTTGGAAAGTATATCGAAATTACTGGTTTATCGCGACGAGGGAAGACGGAAGGGATCCGTGTGCAACTGTTGCAACGATTCGTGAAAATTGTTGGTGAGCCAGTTTCTCCGACGCATTGCAAGTTTAAACGGGTCACGGGTTTATAAGAGCGTCTATGGAAATAAGGAAAGGTGGATAGAAAGTTGGACGTTAATTCGATTCTTTCACGATGATCAAAATGCTATTTGCGGGCACCTTTCCTGCGGTTAAAAATCGTCACCGACGATTTCCTGCTGACTTTTTTACGCGATCGACCGTGTTGAGGTCGCCATTAATAAACATGAACGATTTATTGCACCGCGAATTCGACTAACGAATCCAGCGATTATTTCTCGCGTTATGAAATCGACAATAAAATTTCGTCGGGATTTCAAACTCGTTTCAGCTTGGCGTGAAGTTACATCGTACGATTTATCAGCGTTGTTTGCACGTCGATCATAATTTAATCGCGACCGTATCATCGTTCGCGGGAAAAATAAATACGAGAAAATTTTAAAGCACCGACGAACGAAGAGCTATTTCAGAGCATTGTAGACCGAGCGTAATAATCATAATCGCATTTTATTGACTTACCTTCAACGGCTTGACGACATCGTAGTGACTCTCCTGCGTTCTGGAATCGTAGGTTGTCGTCAACGTTGAGTTCTGTCGCCTGCAATTAAACACGCAATTAAATACACAACGTTTCTTGGAAACCTCGATAATCAACATTTTTCAAATACAAATTGCTAATCAACGCATAGCGATTTATTCGATCGAATGGTTGAACATTTACTCGTGAACTGTATCGTGTTTCATTCGTGGGTTAAAACATGATGAATATGATAAAATTAGGATACTTACGCCGCCGAATCGGATCCATTGACGGTAGGCTTCGGGGATTGGATGCCCGATCGAACTGGCGTACCCATATGAACAGGCGAGGGTCCTTTGCTTCCCAAGGGTTGCTTCATGCTGCAATCACGGAAGAAAATGAACGATCAGTTCCCAAGTAACGGGCAGATCTCTAAATTATGATCGAGCATCGCCCATTCTGCGTAATTGCACGCTAATTCTGCAAAATCAACAACGTCGAATCGTTGCACGTAGTAGTTACGTCAAATTTCTACGTCGATTTTGAAACTACCATTTCACGTCTAAGCTTATCGTCGACCCCAAGTTGGCGAATGTTTAGAGGGCCACCGACAATCAAGATTTCCATCGGAATATCATCCGGAAGGGACGATGGGGTTAGAAAGGTCACTCGAGGCACTAGTCATTATTCAAGCGAGACGTGATTTATGGAAACAAGATATTCCAGCGTCCTTTGTGGCCGCAGAACGGATGCAATCTTTGTCTCATTCCGTAACAAATACAGTCAGTGTAACATTACTTAACATAAATACATCTAATTTGCAAGATGCACAACATGGAAACAAATTCAAGTAAATTTGCTTTGTGAAACATTGACACTTTCGGATCTTGCATTTTTAGACTTCCAATTGTTTTTATTTTGGATGTTTTATAAATATGGGACACGAGTGAAAATATATATTGTAGAACATGAGGGAATAATTAATTTCGAGAAAATTGAGAGAATGCGAACACGTTTGAAAACTCGTATCTTCAATCTGAAGTAAAATAGATGACTCGAAATTCTGATTCGAAATTTGTAATTCCGTGGTAATATCCACGTTTAAGCAGAATAATTTTCCAAGTACACGATGTTTCGAGTTTCTCGAACGCTGTTCCCTCGTTAGAAAGTTACGAAGGCAGCGTTACACACATCAAATTTTGCATTTCTTTGGCGATGTTGAAATTACGAGCGTACAAAAATTCGCAGAGAAATTTCCAGCCGACTGTCTGGAAATATTTACGACCGGAGCGGTATCACGTGTTTACAGAACAACGCCGTGGAATTCAATACGTGTTCTGTTTTCTATTTTTTGTTCTGTTTTTTATATCTTTCGACAGTCGCGCGATTTACCGACGTTTTCCAAGTCAGTGTCGAACGGTTTCTATAGAACCGACGCTCGATTTTCGAGCCCTGTGTTCCGTTATATGAAATCTCGCGGCGTCACGACGCCGTGTAATATTTTTTATCGCCGTATTTCAATATATGTCGTTGCTCCGACTGTCAAATAAATTGGTCGTCTCGCGACGCCCTTCGTATTGTATTTATTACATTATGACTCTGGGCTAAATAGAACTAGTTTCTATCCTTTCAATTTGGAAGAATATTTTTTTCTTGAGGAGAGCTAAAAACACTCGAATTAAATTTTGAAGAGAGCTCGAGAATCAATTACAAGGAATCTCAAACTTGTCCACTATTGTATAATTCACATTGTCATTGAAAACAAACATTCTGCGTATAAATTCCGAAATTGTATAAACCAAACATTGTATTGTTTCCTATTTCTATTGCGGATAAACACATGTTATTCCGAAGAAGACATCGAGGTAGGTCGAGAACGTTAAATACACAGAGTCTCGTAACTGGGCCAGGTTATCGCTTTGTTCCAAGCGAAGATAAAAATTTTTCACTGTTTAACAAACGAATAAAGTTTAAATGCACAATATTCGCTCCAAATGCTTCGTCGCGTCGATTAAATTTATTCAAGTTTAAAACTATTGCCCAAACGCGTATTAAATTTATTTAATCGAGGACTGGACGTTAACAGATTTAATGGCGTACCGTCTCGCGTGATTTTCGTGGATGGTCGTCGGTCTGAAAATCAGCACGCGTGTCAGTCGCCTGACGGGAACCGAAAGCGGAAACTGTTCATAATTCAGCGTCGCATTTTAAACGAACGATACCGAACCGCCGTGACGGTGCTACGGTAGAACTGTCCATTCGTATGTAAAAATCCTTGGTAAAAAAAAGAAAAGTTCTCTCAAAGAAAATAAAACATAACCGATAGTGGGAAGTTTCTGAATGAAGTAAAAGGAAACAACCGTTTATATCCAGCTCTCGTATTCCCAGCTCTATGTATTCATCATTGTTGCAAGCGTACATAGTTGGAACTCCAATTAATAATTCTCGAATAACTTTCCATATCTCGCGAAACGAGAAATAAAATGTGAAAATAGTAAATAACAGGACGACCAAAGTCGTGAATTTTGGGAGCACTTTTTGGTCCAGTTACGTTAATTTCAAGCAAAAGGTCCCAAGTTAACTCTCAGCCGCGTATTCGGGAGCAACGATCTCCGATGTTCGATCTGTTCGTTCGAATCAGAGCGTCGAAAGATTAATATCTGGCGTACCGATTGACGCAAGGCGGCGTGGTCCCGGCGCTCTTCAAGCTGCACGTGCTACCGTGGCTGTTCTGTTTGGTATAAATCGGCCGATTGTTGGGGGCGACGCTGACGCGCTCCGCGATGCGGAATCGCGGTACCGTTGGCTTGTGATAAATCATCGTTCCACCAGTGGACAATTCACCAAAAATCTCGAACGAATTCGAGGCTCACTGTTTCATCTCAGGCTTCCACGCGATGCACGATCGACGAACACCGATATCGGTTCGCGTTCCGATCGCGACGTGGCCACCACTGCGTCTACTATGCGGACCCGCGAACACCGAACGAAACTCTGACGGGGATCGTTCCACGGTCACGTGGCGATTTGACCGCTCGGGAAGTCGTGGAATTCGAATTGCTCGCGTCTTATTTAGGGGAGCACGATCGAGGACCGAACGGAATCCGAGGATCGCGACGTGCACACTGCGTCGCGGCTGCAGGGAACGATGCTGCTACCGAGGAAGCCCGACGTGGAGTATCGAGGGAGCCAAGCGACGGCCACGATTTCGCCCGCCAGCGGCATTAGACACGACTGCCCGTCGAATCACTCGCTCCGCTCGTAATAACAAAGCGTATCGCGGCCTATCAGAGGCTGACTTCGTTTCCCGCGACGTTGTTCCCTTCGCGTGTGCACCGCGGACCCTCGATCAGCTGTGCCGAGTGAAACGCGCATTCGAGGAAATTTTACGGCGGATTCGCTTCGTCCCGAATTGGAACAAAATGCAACGCACTCGACGATTTACACGGACCTGTATTATAGTACTATTTAAATCTACCGAACAGATGCACCCCTTTTGGTATTAAAAAAAATTTTTCTGAGATAATTAAACCGACTAGCGTATACAATTTATTGATTTTTTATTTTTGGGTCGAGCTTCTAAATCGGTGGACAAATATGTCCCACCAAGCGTGTGGAAACGTACAGAGAGGATTTATGAAATTTTGGAAATTTACTATTTCATCGAATAAATTCGTATCTTTCTGGCAAAATCCCAGTTTCGTGCTCTAGCTGTGAACCTAATAAGAAGAACTTTGGTTAGATTTTAATCGAACAGGATCTAAGGTGTGGACAAGTTATGGCGTTGATTAAACGCGGGAAAAGCGAAGTTAGATCAGAAAGTGAGATTTCGAATTCTTTTTCCTTTGCTTCCCGACTTAACTTACGTTTATGTTTCACTTTCCTCGCACTTAATTAACACCATAACTTACCCGCAGGATGTTGTTCGATTACGAGAAATAATCGTTTTTCCAATTACTCGCTAGTTTGTTCTGGTTTCTTTCTTTTCCTACAAAATCGTTCTTGAAACGTTACATAAGCCCAATTTTTGGTATTTGGAAAAGAATTGCAAACATTTATCCAATATTAAAGGAAATAAATCATGCAATTCCAACATAGTCTTGTAAAGATACTTCTAAGAATCTGGCAGGATGCCAGCAAGGACAACGAAGTATATTAAATGACATTATTCCCAATTTCAACAGAATGCAGTTTATACTCAATTTAAATACATAAGCAGTATAGATTTTTATGTGTCGTACAATACAGTTTTCATTTTTCATATGATTCCAAAAACTTACCATATTACATGATAATTATAAGAAAAATGACATTGTCCACGATGTCGTTCCGATATTTTCGTAATGAGTGACTTTCACGATAACAACTATAACTGAATGTACCCTAGATAGAATAACTACGAATAAATGACGACTGCGTTCGATGAAGTATTAAGAACAGTACATTACGATACCTATAAAAACAATTGAGGGTTTGTTACAAGAAAATTTATCTTGGATCAAAAAGCTGATTTTAAATAATAAATTCTTTTTAAAATCTAAAAAACCTCGATGCAATACATCGGTTTATCGCTGAGAAAAAGAAAGAACAGAATTAATGGCTCTACACGCAAGTAGAATGTGGACAGCGTTGTGTAATTGTACCTTACGAAGGCTGACTACAAACGTCTGACCCAATACTACTCGCACGGAAGGTTTTTTCCCCCGCGGAATACGCGTATTTGTCGTCAACGAATTCGATGGAAAATTTTCTAGCAAAACGAGAAAACAACAAGGTGAACATTAAATCATCTCCTTCAAAAAAGAATAAATAAAATGCATATTCTTTAAAACATTGGATCGTTTGCTTTAACAGAGAGAACTGTGAGCAATTAATAAAAAAATACACACATTTACCGTTAAAAAATGGAGGCTCCACAGGAAAGTCTTCGAACATTTGTTGCCAAGAAAATTTTCCAATGGATTTCGCTCACAAGAAAGTGACCTGATAAATATCAAATGATCCCCTTCGAAAGAATGAGGAATATATTCCCATTATTCTTGTTTTAATCAATGGACAATACCATAGGCAATTATCGTCGGTAAATCGAGGTTCCAAAGGGTAGTTTCCAAGCATTTTGGTGGAAAACGAGAAAGTGATAGGGTAAACGATCCGTTTTGGCGGAATGGCGTCGCTCAGCATCTGTCTGATGCGTCTCGAGACTCGACGAAGCAGCCGGTGCAACACAGTTATTTCTCGCGTTCAAAACGACACACGTTTCTAGTATCCGCTGGCGGTAAACTATCCCGCGCACGAGTCACAGTGAATTTCACAACAGGTTGAACGCACTGCCACACTTTCCGCGGGTACACCAACGTGCGAATTCCTATAAATTCTCAAA